ATTTTTTCTGTTGGAATAACTATTCCAACGGATATTCCTACGTATAAAAATTCGTGGGAAAAATGACCGTTGGAATAGCTAAAATCCAACGGAAAATCCTATGAAAATAAATTCCTACAACTATTCCACCGGAAAAAATCCGTTAGAATTTTTCAACCATCCAACACTTATTCCAACATAAAAGTAAGTTTGTTGGAATATTCATTGGAATTTTCAATGAAAATTTTTGCCGTTGGAATTGAAGTATTTTCTTGTAATGATTATTGTTCAATTTTTACTCTGTTATATTTAATTATATTCATATGATATATATTTAAATATATTCATATGATATATTATCCAATTGATGATATGATATTTTAATCATATCAGGCAAGGTTGCTGTGGACCTCTCGAAGCCACCTTCTGTTCGAGCTGTTGTGTTGTTACATCCCACATACATCAATGTGACAGATATTCAGGGTAAGATTAATTAAGTGATGGTTCTGTAATTTTTAATTTGAATTAAAATTAAACATATTCTATTAATTAATTACTTCAAAAATTTGATAATCAAATTAAAAAAAAAAAAAAAAAAAATTACTCATCAGGTGTTAATGCTCCAATTGCAATTCTTGGAGGTCAGAATGACACTCTGGTTCCACCATCTCTTATCAAACAATACGAGTCCGCTTTGAACGCAAGGCATAAGGTAACTAACAAGCCGGCCTTTCGTATTCCAACAGAAAATCCTACGATAATATATTTTAATCGAAATTTCAACGAATATTCTAATGATATAATTTCGGTTGGGATGATTCCAACGGTAATTCCAAGAATATTCCGTTGGAATGAATTTTCCATTGAAAATTCCGAACGCTATTTTTCCAACAATTTTTATATATAAGAATTTTCGTTGGAGTATGCAATTTCCGTCGCTGGAATTTCTATTTCCACCCTCGTTAGAAAATCTACCCTTTAAATCGTCAAAATCCAATAGACTCATTCTAACAGAATATTTTTTTTTTTTGGAATTTCTTTATAAATCCATTAAAATTTTCCGATTTTCATTATTATTTTATTATTGTTTTTGTAGTGAAGAAAAGTTAATTACATAACTTCCCCAAAAATTTAGGCTTATTAATTTCATATGATTTATATTTTTTTTTTTTTTTTT